GAGTCTTTGTCAATTCAGAATTCCACTAGCACATGTATTCTCTTAGTTTGGGTAAGTATATAATTCTTAGTATTATTTTTAACATATAAAATTGACCTTCCTTTCTAGATTTTTTTAATTACCTGTCTTATTTTTGTTAGCATTACATGTAATTGCTCAGTTGTGATTCCTTAAGCCTAGGCTTTTCAAATGTAGCTCTGAAAAGTATCCATATGATAAATTGCTTTCAGACTAAATATATAGGCAGTGTGGTTTTTTTTTTGTTGTTGTTGTTGTTGTTGTTGTTGCCTTATTTTGAATTATACTTGCCTATGTACTCTATAAGGCTGCTGTATAGACTAGTCACAGTTTTGGAACTAAAAGGAGGAGTTATTTATCTAGAAAAGTGTGGACAACTATAGATTTGAAATGGGTCTTCAGTGGGTGAATAATGAATAGTTGTATTTAATACTCTTAAAATCAGATCATTTGTGCTGCCTTATTAAGCTTCTGTGTGAGATGCATAAATGGGTTCAAACCTGAAAGTGATGCTTTGCTAGAGTGAGAAGTCATAAATTATGAACTGTTCTTTTACTATTTGGATAGTTTACTGTATAGAGTCTCCTAGTGTTTGATCTTTAGCTTGTGATTATACCTTGCTTGTGCCTAGAAAGCTAAAAAACAACTTTGACCACTGAAATGAACAGTCTGTAAATTAATGCTTATTCTTCAGATTGTCTAAATTGGAATAGTTTCCTACAGTATAATTGATTATTTTAGTAGTCCTGGAAGGGAAAGTATGGTTGTGAATCAAAGGCTATAGTGTTTGAAGTACTTATTTGGAAAAGAGATCATTCTATAGTGAGGTTGCCCAGTGACTTGGTGAATTGAGTCCTTTTGTTAAAGGAAATGGTTTGTTTACCTTATTTGGGGGTAAATGCTTGTTCTACAGGTGCCATTAAATGTCAGGCACTAATGCGATGCTTCCCACCATTGTAAACACTTACTAGTCTGCATCATTTTCTGTCAGGGTCCTTGCATTCTGTAAGCTTCCATTTCTACATGGTTCCAAGAACCCTTCTGCACTAAGGATGACGGCCATGGCTCTGCTGTAGGAGCTTGGCAGTGCCTGGACTGTCATACCCTGAGTTCAGTTTGCTTCCTCCCTAAGACCTTTTGGTCTCATCACTCTGCACTCTCCTTTCTTGTAGGGTAGGGGTGTGAAGGTGGAGGCAGGTGTGCCTGCCAAGATCTTTCTGCACTCATAAGTATGTTCTTGTCACCTCACCCCAAAACATCTTGCTGTGGGGATTCATTAGCCCAGGGATGAAGCAATTCCTAGTTCACCTTTCTTATTCCTAGAGCAAAAGAGAGCTTTTCTTTACCTTAAGGAGAGCAGAAGGGAAAAAGGAACATGGGCATTCCTGCCATTGGCATGGCCTTTGTCTGTATCCTGTACCTTTGTCCTTTTGTGGTCCAGTATAGAGTATATTTCCCACCAGTGCACCTGTCAACTTCACAGATGGTACTGTTTATTAAGGTTGAAGCAGCAGAAGCATGCAGAATTACACAAGGAAAACGTCAGGGCCAATTCTTAGATAAAAACTGCTGCTACCCTCCACTTCTCCCCAGTAGTCTTATGCTTCAGCATTATTGTGCTAGATTTTTCTTAATGGTCCACCTTACACATTCAGCTTTCCAAAAAAGGCAATGATGTCAACTATTTTCATTTTTGAATTAGTAATAAATACACAGAGTTCCCAAAGGTGCTGCTTAGCTAACCATTGTTAACCCAGATGTCATGTTGAGAAGAATGTGCACAATAGCTATTCTGGTATGCTTTCTGGTCTGGGCTGTGATGGCAGAGGATATACAGTCAGTAAATTACCATTCAGTAAGTAGTTGCTGTGTATTTGCCTAAGTTTTGAGGTGACCAGTTCTGCCATACTCTTGTTGAATCCCCTTGGATACACATTTCTAGTTAAACTAAGCAATAAGTAACATAGGAAGGGAATCCATGATCACAGCAGAAATCCACATCATGTCTTTTCTGAGCTCTGATTATTGGTCTTCCTCTTCTCCAAATTTTGTGACCATTTTACTGTTGCAGCTCAGTTCTCATCCATTACAAGGACTGTTTTTCTTACTCTAAAACTTGCCTTGATCAGATGCTGTGGGGTGATTCAAGACAGTACCTGGGTCGACATTTGCATCTTCTCCATATCTGTTGGGTAGAAAAGAAAGGCAATTAAGTAATTCTGATTCTCCTTGGCTTCTTCCAGAAAAGTGGGAACCTGAACTTCACAGAGGAAGCAGATGTCATTTCTTTGTATACAATGACATCATACAGTGATTCTCAGATTTCATGGCACCCTTCTTCTTTTGAATGTCATGTTATGTGACATGTGAAGAAGGAGACAGCATAACTGAAGCCATTTGTTTGGTACTAGTAAATGCCATAATTATAATCTCCATAGCTCAGGTGTAAATTTTAAAAACAGCTTCTAAATTTAGTTTGATAGGTTTTATAGTATTGGTAACTACTTGGAGACAAAAACAACTTGCAGGTATTTCATGGGTTGATGAACTCATTAAGTCCTTGGACAGGACCTCAAGCTCTATTTTTCTCTCTGGTTTATCAAACAGGAGGCTTTCTCTAGGTTGTTAAAGTGTGTTCTCTAATCTTCATACTGGAGACTGCTAGGATTACAGGTATGTACTGTCATGACTGGCAGTTGTGTTCTTAAAGTTAACTTCAATGCACAACATAGGTTCACTTATACACATGCAGGCATAATACTTAAACACATAAAATAAAAATAAATAAGAAAAAGATTTTCTTTTTAAATTTAACTTCAGACTTGAAATTGTGATTTCAGTTGTGAAGCAAATTTCTTCCCATGATGGTTGCAGTAGAGTGTGGAAGCAATATGATTAATTTACTATGCTGATATTTTTATATATCTTTATATATGTGTATATATACATAGATACATACATATATATAAAATCTCAAAATTTGCTGTATTTCCTTTTTTTTTTTTTGAGACAAGGTTTCTCTGTAGCCCCAGCTGGTCTGGATCTCGCTATATAGACCAGCCTGACCCAGATCTCACAGAAATCCATCTGCTTCTGCCGCCACCACATCCAACCTTATTATCCTTTTTTTTTTTTTGGAGTGTACAATTGTGGCAATGGTTATATCCCATTTTCACTAATACTTATGTTTATAATAACCATCTTCACAGATGTAAAGCAACACCCCATTGTGATTTTGATTTGCATTTTCCATGGAAGTTTATTGTTGCATACTTTCTATTTATATATAATGTTAACTTTATTTTGGCAATGTAGAAATATGTAAGAAAAGAAGTGAGGCTGGAGAGATGGCTCAATAATTAAGAGCTCTTACTGCTTATGCAGAGATTTTAAATGGCCCTGAGTACCTGCATCCCCTGGCTCACAGCTACCTGGAACTCTAGCTCCAGGGGAATTTGAGACCTTTGGTCTCTGTGGGTATTTGCATTCACATGCATATAGTCTCTGTCTCTCTGTCTGTCTCTCTCTCTGTCTCTGTCTCTGTCTCTCTCTCTCTCTCTCTCTCTCACACACACACACACACACACACACAGAGTTTAAAATAAAATCCTTAAAAGACAAGAAGTGCAAGAAGTGTTGGGAACTGTTCAGTGAGCTTCTTCCAGAATTAACACAGCTTTCTGAGAGGATTGTAATGCTTTGTTTCTGTTTTTGTTGGATTTCTTTTTGTTTGCTTTTATGGGGCTGGGGATGAAAACTAGGACCTTTCACATGGTAAGCAGTTACTCTACCACTGAACAACACCCCCAGTCCCAATTGCTGTTGGTTTTTAAAATACTTAGAACAGAGTTGAGGTTTTTTAATTAGCACAATCTTTCTTAGGCAAATATGGGTCTTACTACTTTGTAAGATTATGTGATCTGGGTTAGGATATATATGATTTGCTTATTTAAAATAATTCATAACAATCATTTAAAATTTTTGTAATAATGCAAGTTGGTAAAGGCTGAGAGAACAGTGTTTCAGCTATTGGGCAGTCAAGAGATCTATACTCTCCCCCTCCTCTTCAATAAATGGTTCTTTTGTAGACAGTCTTATTTCCTTGGGTTTCTAGAAGGCAGATATAAGGCTTAGTTCCCAAGAGTATCTAATGTGGTGCTTTATTGAGCTGTCAGCTGGAATCCCACACTTACTGTCAGACCAGCTTGTGTCATTGGACAGCAGAACAGAATATCCTACATGAGATCTTTGGAAAGTTTTCTCTGTTCATGTCATTTCTTTATACAATTAAATTTTTAAAAATCGGTGTATGCTGTTTACTGTGACTGGCTCCCAAAACAGGTGATTTTGATATGAGCGGTCCTTTGAGGTTCTCAGAGGGAAGAGGAGATAAGGTGTCACTTATGATAGAGAAGTGACATTTTCTATTTTCTGTTTAGGTTCAACCAAGTGTGTTAACAAGAACATCCACATAACACTGCTTGAATTCTGGAGAGCTATAGGATAGGCATGCTCTTCATTATTCCAAACATGCAAATAGCTCACTAGTAATGACTGATTGAGCAGACTCAGCCGGGGTTAGAGCTCCCTGCTGGTGGTAGCTGGGTGACTTGACTGTGACGGTAAACTCTCACTAGCCATACAGTGTTGCTTAGAAAGATTTGGCATTTATTGATGGCACCTTTGTAAAACTTTCTCCTGTTAAACTGTCACTAAAACTTATAAGTAAATAAAAATTATTGAATGGTTAACATAAAAGTACCAATGTCCTTATCTTTGGGAATTACAAAAAGTGTACTATTAAATGGGGATCAGCATTGGTGCCACTTTTGCTACTTGTGACTGTAACACTTTGTGCCTTTAATGCGTAATCTCTGCTGACTAGTATGATCATTACTAAAGCTGTAGGACGTTACTCTGGTTTGGTTTTAGGTGATTTTCTACTCTGGTATAGACTAATACATCTCCCTCTTCTCTTATAGAACGAATCTGCTCATGGTGATTATGTACAAAGAAATGCTACTAGCTTAGTAGAACAAGCCCAAATACCTCAGGATGGACTCACTGTGACCCCTCACAGAGCTCAGCGAGAAGGTATGCAGTATTTGTTGTGAACTTAACCAGTGTATACCTGCATTAATACCAGTTAACACAGCTGTTTTTATTATTAATTGGTGGTTTTTGAGACAGGGTCTCATGTAGCCCAGCCTGGCCTCAGACTTGCTATGTAGCTGAATCTGTCCTTGAACTTCTGATCTTTCTGTTTCCACCTTTCAAGTGCTGGGATTACAGGCAGGTGCCACCATGCCTTTTTTTTTTGTAGTGCTGGGAATCCAACCCAGCACTTCATGCATGTTAGGCAAGCACTCTGCCAACTGAGTTACTTCCCCATCCCCCAACACTGGGTAATTCTTAATATTCTTAATTCTTTTCTTTTTAGAGAAGTCCTGGTGGTTCTGGGTTTTTGCACAAAAGCCAGTGCTCCCAGTTCTGCTGTCTGTGTCCTGGACACCCCGACACACACCCCCCCCCCCCCCCGCCCC